GATGTAGGGAGTTCCTTGGCAGTCCAGTGGTTAAGACTCTAAGCTTCCGCTGCAGGGGTCCCAGGTTCAATTCCTTGTTGGGCAACTAAGATCCCACAAACTGGGGAGCGTGAGCAAAAAAAAAAGAGCTGATGTGGTATGACTTTGATCTCTCTCAGCTGACATCCAGCCCATGAGAGGCTCTCTCTCAGAAAAGCAGGAGAGCAAGGCTTCCAACAGGAACCTCATGACCTGCATTTCACTGCTGCCTGGTCCTGTCTTGTTTATGAAATCATGAGCACACAGGCCTATAACAGAGAGCAGGGAGCCCTCTCGAAAATCAGTACTCAGAGGGGAGCCCAACTTTCCCTCTGTCCTCGAGCTGGGCCCCTGTGCCCTTCAGTCCCAAGAGTGAGTCCTGCAGGAGGCCTCTGGCTAAACTTAACACACTCTCATCCAAAATGTGGGCTTTCCCCATGGCTCAGTGGTAAAAAATTCACCTGCAACGCAGGAGCCAAGGGTTCAGTCCCTGGGTCAGGAAGATTCCCTGGAGGAGGGAATGGCAGACCACTCCAGTATTCTTGCCTAGAGAATCCCATGGAGAGAGAAGCCTGGCGGGCTACAGCCCATAGGGTCACTCAGAGTTGGACATGACTCAGCACGCATGCACCCAAAATGCTTTTCAAGGCTGAAAGAAGATCCTCTCTATCCCTATGAATCTGCAACAAGATAAGGGAAGGAAAAAAAACATTTCTTTTTATAAATACCCTCATAGAAAGCAACCCACCTGTAGTCACAGATAGACTATTGGTTCCAAGAGGTAGACACAGCATGATGTGCTGGTTTAGGAGGGGGTCAGGTTAAAGCCTGATTCTCACAAACCCAACATGCACTCATGGGAGTGGGAGGAGCGAACAGTGTGGACAGAAACACCATCTCCAGGATCCTTTCTGGAGCTTGCTGAGAGGAAGGCGGCAGTCGTGAGAAGCCGAGGAGGCAGCTTCTTGGAGCCTGGGTTTGTGAATCATCACTTTCACGTGGGTTCCCCAAACAACCCCTAATTTGGGAGAGGAGCAGCAGAAGGGCCCCAAATTCACTTCAACTTTGTCCTTCCCCTTTCAGTTGGAGTTCCGTGGGCATTCATCTTGGGTGTCATCTATGACAAGGCTCAGGACATCTAGGATGATTCATCTTCATGCTGATCTGCCCGAGATATTTGGGGACTTGAGGGTGGGGTTGAGGGGGACAGGAACTGGCTCAAAGAAAGGACTCCCTTTTTTTTAAAAAAAAATACTAACACTGACTTTTTTTTTTTTTTGGTCACGCCCCACGGCTTGCAGGATCTTAGGTTTCTGACTAGGGATTGAACCCGTGCCCTTAGCAATGAAAGCGCCAAGCCCTAACTACTGGACCGCCAGGGAATTCCAGGACTCACTTTTATATCAGATTATTGATCAAAGAGAAACCAAACATGCAGAGAACAAGGAAGGAGTGTCCAAGAGGTCTTGAGATGACAGTGCAATGTAAAAGCTTCTTAGAGGACAAAGATGGGTGGTTGTGCAGAGAATTTCTCATGAAAGGTGCACTAGAATATATGGATGGGGCGCCCCTGGCTGGGGCGGTGGCGGGTAGGTGGAGCTGAGGTTCAGGGGGAACTTGACTCTTCCTTATTATACACTTTTTGTACCCATTTACGTTTTATGCTATTGTGTATGCATTATTGCTTAAAAATTTTTGTTTACAGCTTTGCAAGTCAGAGACCTCATAGGAAAGTAGCAGGTGCTTAATTGACACATGTTAAAACACTGCTATTTTAGGAACTAGCATTTATGGAGCGCTTACTGTGGGCCAAGGGCCCTCTGGCAATCCCGGTTTTCCAGGTCTTACAGACAGGGAGGCTGGGCCAGGAGGGAGCTGAGTGGGAACTCCTCCCAGGAGCCGGGGCTCTAGTCCTGCATGAGGACCACACAGCCTCCCTCCCTGGAGTGAGCAGTTGGAGGCACCAGATGCTTTGGCAGGATCCAGAGAGATGCCATCTGTGAGGGGAACCTATTCTTAGAGAGCAGAGACAGTGGGTGGGGGAGCCGGCCAGCCCCCAGCGGCAGTCGGGGGACGTTGGGAGGAATGGGGGCAGGCAGCCAAGGCTTTTACCTTCAGCTGAGGGGCGGGGCAGGCCAGGTTGAAAGCACAGTATCCATAGTCCTTGGGGCCAAGCTTCCTTTTACATTTGGACGATACATTGGAAACAGCAGCAGGCATTTATCGAGTGCTTACTTTATATGCCGTCGTATCATTTAATCCTCCACAGCACCCTCCAAGGCATGTGCCATGAGAATGGCTGTTTAACAGATGACAAGACGGAGGCCCTGAACGGTTAAGTCACTTACAAGGAACCAGCGGGGCCAGAACTGAGCCCAGACACTCTGGCTTCCAAAGCTGATAGCCTTAACCGCCACGCTCTGCTGCCCCTCAGCTCACTGCACCGGGGGCCAGTTTGAGTTTGGGTTCCCCCAAGAGCAGATCCCGAGATGAGGATGTTGAGTGCCAGCAGTTTCTGTGGGAAGTGGTCCCGGGAAGCAGTGGTAGGGGCACGAGGAAGGGAGACAAGGGAGGAGGTGTTATCACACGAGTGACTGCTGTGGGTGGCCGGAGCTCAGTCCTGCTGGGTGCTCTGGGAGCCAGTGTGGAGCAGGCACCTGGGAGTTATCCCACCCAGTGGCAATCGGAGTGCAGGAGTGGGGGTCGTCACCAGTCCCTGGTTGACAGCTGCTCCCAGGATGTGTTACTGTCCAGCACTGCAGGTCTGCCGCAGGCTGACAGAGCAGGTGCCAAGGGCAAGGGAGGAGCCCTCAGGCTGAAAGACTCAGGCTGGCAGTGGGGTGGCTGATGTGCACTGAAGTGGTAAGTTAGACAGGATATGGGTGGGGCACTCCAGCATCTGCTTTAAAACCCACTTGCTGGTGGCTACCCCCTCCCCTCCCCATGACCTCAGGACCTCATTCAGCCTCCACAGAGTGAACTAAGGGAAGTTCAAGACCACCTTCCCTAAGCTGGCAGTACAACACCATGCCTGAGAACACACCGTTTAGACTCAGACCCAGTCCCACCTTCATGACCTAACAGCTCTGTGACACAGCTTTCTCGTTCATCACATGGGCTACTGGCTGGCCCCCCCCGTCATTCCCTATCACCTTGTTACTCAAGCTCAGAACAGCAGCAGCCATCACCCAGGAGCCATGAGAAACCTAGAATCTCAGGCCCCACCCCAAACTCACTGAATCAGAATCTGCATTTTAATAAGATTTCTAGTGACTCATGTGGATATTTCTACTAGTAATTTTCAAAATATAAAGAGATTTAAGTATGCCTACTCCAATTGATGGCCCACGAACCAAATCTCCTGGAGCTGTGTTTGATTTGTTCAGCTTGGTGGTTTAAAAAAAAAATTTGTCTGGCACACACACAAGTCTCCAGTTCACCAGGTCCCCGTCCCTCCTGACTGCATAGCACCCAGAACATCATTTATGCCACTTCCCAGGCCCCTATAGGCATTTGAGTATGCACACCAATAACTAGCTAATTTTGCATAGCATAGTTTAGGTTCCTAAATTTAAGGCACTGAAAAAAAAAAAAAGAACTTTGAAATCGCATAGATCTGGGTTTAAACCCTGGTCTGGCTGTCACACTAGTCGTATTATTGCCTTTGGCAAGTTACTTCTCCGATCCTCAGTTTCCACATCTGTGAAATGGAGATCAAAATATGTACCTGCAAGGTCATTGTATGGGTTGAAAAGAATAACGTGCAAAGCACCCAGGAAGGAGGAAGGAGGAGTTCACTAAGCGGATGTCATTAGTAGTTGAAGCAGCTGTCATAATTACACAAGTCCAACGTAGACACCAGGTATTGCTATGATTATCCTCACTTCAGTAGAAACTGAGCCTCTGAGAAGAACCTTCCCCAAGGTTATACCGCGGTCCAGCAGGGACTCAAACCCAGGTCCTCCAGCTCTGTATCTGCACTGTCCACTAGAATTTTCTTTGAGGATGGAACGTTCTAATCTGTGCTGTCCAATACAGCAGCCACTAGCCACATGTAGCTGCTGAGCACTTGAAATGTGACTGGTCCAGATTGAAAAATGCTGAAAGTGTAAAATACACACCTGATTCTGATGACTTAGTAAAAGAAAAAAAGAAAATAAAGAAAAATAAATAAATTAAAAAAAAAGAAAGAAGGTAAAATATCTTATTTTTATATTTAGCACACATTAAAATGATAACATTTGAGAAACATTGGGTTCAAAGATATAATTAAGGTTAATCATCTCTGCTTCTTTCTCTCCCCACATGTTTTTTTTTGGGGGGGGGGCATACCTCGTGGCATGTGGGATCTGAGCTCCCCAGCCAAGGATAGAAGCCCTGCCCTTGGCAGCAGAGTCCTAACCACTGGACCACCAGGAATTCCTCCACTTTTTAAAAACTGTGTCTGCTAAAAAAGCTCAGTCACATATGTCTCACACTGTCTTTCTGTTGGACAGTGGAAACGCTGGAGCTTCTACAATAGAACACCCAAGGCAAGGAAAAGAGTGTTGTCTAAAAATGCATTTTTGCAACCCACTGCCCCCCAGCCAGAAGCCCTCTGCTATAGAAGAATGGTCAGAGAACATACCCACCAGAAAGAGACTTCGGGACCCTCCTCTGGCCTGGATGATCCCTGAGGCCCAGGGTGGGGTGTGACCTTCCCTGGTCTCTCAAGAGTCAGCAGCCATCACCATGCCCAAGGCTCCTCAGCCTGATTCGGTGGCTCGTTCCATTCAAGAGTACCTAAGGAGAACTGATAATCAGTGCTTCCATTTCGCCAAATGGAACCCTGGGCTAATAAAAGTTAGAGTCTGAGACTCCAGATCTTGAAGGCGTAGGATCCTCCGGGATGGTTAGCAGATGGAGCCAATCTCGAACCGCGGCTGGACACCTCCGTCACCCAACTGGGGTGCAGGAGCCTTCCTGAGCACCTGGGGGTGCTGTTACTTGGAGGGTTGGCTCTTGTTGTAGATAAGGAAGTCCGAGAGGTCATGCCACACGTTGCTGTCCTCGTACAGGTAGGTCATGGACGACTGCAGTGAGGGCTGCAGGGTGGGCCGGTGGTACTCGAAGAGCCACAGGACCAGCCCCCACACCAGCGCTGTGAACCACGGAAACAGGTCCGACCTGGGTTCGGGGATGAAGCCCTTCTCCACACCCAGGCGGCACAGGGCAAACAGGGCGCGGGATAGCAGATACATGCTGATCTGTGGGAGGGAAGGACGGGGTTACAAGTGGGCCCAGCCACTGGGAACCTTCTACCTACCCCAGCCCACCCAATCTCATCCCTCCCCCATTTCCCCCCCATTCCCCTCCCCCACCCCGCCCCACCCTGGAGCATTGCCTTTGTACTGGATCAGGGTTTTGCAAAGTGTGGGCAAGGTGATTTGAAGTGGTTTGCAGCAGGCATTTGAATATTACTGTTTATGTCTTTTTTTGTTAGCAGCATTGCATGGCAAATGGGATCTCAGCTCTTCAACCAGGGATTCAACCCATATCCCCTGCAATGAAAGCACCCAGTTTAAACCTCTGGACCGCCAGGGAAGTCCCACTATTTATGTCTTTTAATTTATTATTCTTTTTATTAAAAATTTTGAAAATGAATATATTTACATGGCTCAAAACTAAAAGGTAGCTTGATGACAAAAAACAGAGTCCACAAATGAAAAAAAAAATTAATAACGATTTCATCAAAATGCAAAATTCTTCAGTTGTGAAAGTCCATGTGAAGAGGTTGAAAAGAAAAGCTACAGACTGAGAGAAAATATTTACAAACACATATCTGACAAAGACTCATGTCTCGAAAATATTTTTAGAAACTCTCAAAACACAACAGTGAAAAAAAGAGGCAATCCAGTTAGAAAACAGGCAAAAGACAGATATTTCACTGAAGAGGTTACACAGAAAGAAAACAGACACATGTAAAAAGGTTTAGCTTCATTAGCCATTAGGGAAATGCAAATTAAAACCACAATGAGAGGGACGTCCCTGGCAGCCAGTGGTTAAGACTCTAACCGTCCAATGCAGAAGGCCCACGTTCCATCCCTGGTTGGCAAACGAGATCCTGCATGGCACAGCTAAGACCTGGTACAGTCAAGTAAATAAATAACTTTTTAAAAACCATAATAAGCACTATACACCTATCAAAATGTCAAAAATCTGAAATGTAACAAACCACATGCCAGCTTAGAGGTGAAGAAACTGGATCACACATATATTCCTGATAAGAATGTAAAATAGGACAATCACTCTGGAAAACACTTTGTCAGTCTCCTCTAAAACTAAGTATATATGTACCGTGTATATGTGCTCAGACCCTGAGTTGTGTCTGACCCTTTACAACCCATTGGACTGTAGCCTGCCAGGCTCCTCTGTCCATGAGATTTTCCAGGCAAGAATACTGGCGAGGGTAGCCATTTCCTCCTCCAGGGGATCTTTCCAACCCAGGGATCAAACCCTTATCTCCTGCATTGCAGGCAGATTCTTTATCACTGAGACATCTGGAAAACCCTTTTGTACCATATGACCCAAGAATTGCACTCCAGGTATTTATCACAGAAGTGAAAACTATATTCACCAAATACATGTACAAGAATGTTCTGAGCAGTTGCATGACTAATAGCCAAAAGCTAGAAATAATCCGGATGTCCTTCAATAGGTACATACATACCATGGAACACTACTCAACAGTGAAAGGGAATGAACAGCTGATACAATAACTTGGAAGAATTGCCAGGAAATTATGCCGAGTGAAAAAAGCCAACCCTCAAAGATTACATACTATGATGACTCCATTTATATAATAATTTTTAAAATTGAAGTATAGTTGATTTACAATGTTGTGTTTCAGGTGTATAGCAAAGTGATTAAGCTATACATATACATATATGTATGTATATTCTTTTTCAGATTCTTTTCCATTAAAGGTTATTATAAAATATTGACTATATTTCCCTGTACTAATTGTTGTTTATCTATTTTATATATAGCAGTATGTGTTAATTCCAAACTCCTAATTTATGCCCCCCCACTTTGGTAACCATAAGTTACCAAAGTTTATGTCTGTGAGTCTGTTTTTGTTTCCTAAATTAGTTCATTTGTATCATCTTTTTTAGATTCCACATGTGAAATATTTGCCTTTTTCTGTCTGATTTCACTAAGTATGATAATCTCTAGGTTCATCCATGTTGCTACAAATGGCATTATTTCATTCTTTTTTATGGTTGAATAATATTCCTCTCTGTGCGCGCGCGCATGCGCGCACGCGTGTGTGTGTGTGTGTGTATGTGTGTATACACCACATCATTTCCATGCTTGTAAATAGTGCTGCTATGAACATTGGGGTATATGTATCTTTTTGAATTAAGAGTTTTCATCTTTTCCATAGATATGCCCAGGACTGGGATTACTGGATCGTATGATGACTCTAGTTTTATTTTTTTAAGGAATCTCGATACTATTCTCCACAGTGACTGCATCGATTTAAATTCCCACCAACAGTACATGAGTGTTCCGTTTTCTCCACACCCTCTCCAGCATTTATTATTTGTAGACTTTTTGATGATGGCCATTCTGACTGGTATGAGGTGATATTTCACTATAGTTTTGATTTGCATTTCTCTAACAATTAGTGAAATCGACCATCTTTTCATGTTCCTTTCCCTCTGCCTGTTGGCCATCTGTATGTCCATCATGTAACATTTTTGAATGGAGGTCAGAGCAGCTGTTGCCAGCAGTCAGGTCAGGGAAAGGCGGGAAGGGGGAAGGAAATGGGTGTATCCAGGATTCCTAGAATTTGAAATTTCATAGACAAATTCATTGAAATTTCTATCAAAAAAAAACTGGGGAAACTTTCCCAAAATACAAAATGCTCATATCCATAGACTTTACAACTCCATATATAGGAACTTACAAATAGACTGACACAAGTGTAGGAAGATGTCTTAACAAAGATGTAGACTACAGTGTATGTGTGAGGTCAAACGCTAAAGAACCCCTAAATGTCCATCTACTGGAGACTGTGAAATCAAGGCTGGTCTATCCCATCAGCAGAGAGCTCTGCTCATGTTACAAAGGATGAGGGACTGACGAGAGAGGCCTCCAAGACACACTGTTACATGAAAAAAAAAAAGTACTATGATCTTGTTGGTGGAAAACTCCTGCTATGAACACTGATACAAGTACAGACAAGTTCTGAAAGGCTAAACAAGACACAGTTAAAATGACCGTCTATATACATGTATAACTGATTCACTTTGCTGCTTAGCAGAAACTAACACAACATTGTAAATCAACTATACTCCAATTATGTATATGTGTGTGCGTGCTCAGTCATGTCCAACTCTTTTCAACGCTACGGACTGTAGCCCTCCAGGCTCCTCTGTCCATGGGATTTCCAGGCAAGAATACTGGAGTGGGTTGCCATGCTATCCTTCTCCAGGGGATCTTCCTGACCCAGGGATCAAACCCATATCTCCTGCATCTTCTTGAATTGGCAGGCAGATTCTTTACCACTGAGCCACCTGGGAAGCCCAATATTCCAAGAAAAATTATTAAAAAAAAAAAAAATGTTTCTGGACAGTGGCTGGACAGTTAAGAGGGGGAGAGAGACTTTCTTTTCAATTTATTTTCTAATTTCATCATGATGTATCCTAAGCATCCAGGAATGTGCCAGGCACATAATGGGTGCTTAGTTTGCATTACTTAAAATGTGAAAATAAAACAATTATTTTTATAATTTAAGAATATTTAAAAAAAAGAATATTTAAAAAAAAGAATATTTAAGAAATTTGAGGGAGGCAAATTAGAAAGACTGCCAACGTTTCATATAGCCCAAGAAGGATGCTAAAATAGCAGCAGCAGAAACAGCATTTTATCATTATCTCATTAAAAAATAGAATTTTAACCAAGAAAAAGGGCAAAATGCAGAGTAAGAGAAAAATTCTTCAAATGTAGTTTCATTTTATGAAAATCTTGCTCTTTTTTTTTTTTTTCTCACTTCACTGCAGAGTAGTGTTTGGGGGCGTGTTTTGTTTTTTTTAATCTTTGCCCCAGAGAGCTGCATGGAACTCCAACAAGGTACCTGGTTAGCAGAGGGGGAAGCTGAGGGGGAAGTGACCTTCTCAAGGTCACACAGGGATTGGTGAACTACAGACCCTCAGACATGGCAGGGAGCCAAGAGCTCGTCTTCTTTGACTCCCATCCCCAACTCTATACCTGAATCCTGCCCCACCCCCCATTCTGGCAGGACCTTTACCTGGCTGTTGATGTTATTGTTGTTTCCAAACACCAGCAAGCCCCCGATGAAGGCAGACACGAATGAGTGTGCCTGGTAGGTCTTGCCCTGGACGTGGGACAGCAGGGCACAGAGTCCCTTGTAGAAGAACACAAACCTGGCCAGGTTCCAGGAGTGGGTGTACGTGGCCTGCAGGATGGCGCGCAGCTTCTCCCGGAGGCTGCATAGACACAGGGAGCCACTGTGAGTGCAGGCCCAGCCGCTCCAGGGGCATGCACCCACCTGGCATGCAAAACCAGCCCAGGCAAGGAGCCCATGGACCTGCGCTCATTCAACCCTGGGCCTCTGCCTTCCATGCCCTTAGGGCTGTTCCCTCCCTGGATACGGGCTTTGACTTCACGCCATCTCCTCCAAGAGGTCTTCCCTGACTACCCCACGTATAAGAATGCCCATTGTATTCTGTCCCCTTATCCAACTTTTCTTTTCCTTCAGAGCTTGTATCACCACCTGACATTTACATACTTGTTTATTATCTCCCCCTATTCCCACCCCATCCCAGTGGAAGCTACCAGAGGGTGGTGTCTATACCTCACTCATTCATCCTCAGTGCCCAGAGCAAGGCCTGGCACATAGCAGGTGCTTAATACATTTGTTTCTGGAGTGAACATGTGAAGAAATGAATGAGTGAATGAGTGAGTACCTACTACGTGCTGGATCTGAGGGTATGATTCTGAGAAAAAATAGATCTGCTTGCTGCCCTCCCGAGGCTTATGATCTAGTGGGAGAGGGAATTATGAAAGAAAGAATCACAAAGCCAAGGTCAAACTTTGATCCTGACAAGCAATGATGCCAGGACGTGAAGGATGAGGAGTTCATGAGGTCAGGAGGAGAGAGCAGTTGTACTGGGATCGAGACCCGAGCAGAGGTCACGAGCAGGGACAGAGAGCGGGGAGGAAAGGAACAAAGAGAGGTCATCAAGCCTGAGCAGAAAATGTGTGCGGCAAAGGTTGTGAGCGAGAGGTGGGGCCATGGCAAGATGGGTCTTTAAAAAAAAAGTATTTATTTATTTTTGGCTGGACTAGGTCATCCTTGCTGCTCAAGGGCTTTCTCCAGTTGCAGAGCCAGAGCGGCTCTCTAGTTGCAGTGGCTTCACTTGTTGGGGAGCACGCGCTCTAGGTGTGGGGGCTCAGTAGTTCCTACACACAGGCTTAGTTGCTCCAAGGCATGTGGAGTCTTCCCAGGGCAGGGACTGAACCCATGTCCCCTGCACTGGCAGGCAGATTCTTAAACACTGGGCCGCCAGGGAAGTTGTAAGCTTTGTCTCTATCTTGAGAGCAGTGAACCTTTACGAAAGGCATGTGGTTTGACTTATCTTTTCACACTCGCTAGGGGGCAGTGAGGAGAACCCAGGAGAGGAACAGCATGTGCTCTGGGAGATCAATTCAGAGCAGCAACCGCAAGTGCCCTCGAGGTCGGAGGAGGGCCTTGAAGTGTGTGTCAGCTGGGACCTGTGAAGTCTGCCAAGTGAGGGGGGACAGCTAGGAGTCGGCGAACTCTCACCCCACAGGAACATGGGCCTACCACTGCCAGTTCTAAGGCAAGCTGCATTTCCCACTTTCCGAGCGTAGGCACTAATACTGCCTTGAAAATGTAGAAATTTCTAGAATCTGAACACTTCTCACCTCTATGCCACCATCAAGGTCTGGGCCACCAGAGTTGCTCAGCTGGATTATTGCTGCTGCCTCCTACTTTACACCTAATTCTGCCCTTGACCCCAGCAGCAAACACTTCACTTTCTCACTATTAAATTTAAGTCAGATAGTGGCATGTCCCTATACAGATTCTTACAACAATTTCCTGTTCCATTTAGATGAAAAGCCATGTGGGTGGGAGGAAAGTTCAAGAGGGAGGGGAGCTATATATACACACACATACACACACATATATATAGTAGATGCTCAATAAATCTAAGTATACATACATATATATATATACACACTTATGGCTAATTAGCATTGTTGTATGGCAGAAACCCACATAACATGGTAAAGCAATTGTCTTCCAATTAAAAGTTTAGAAAATTAAACAAAAAGAAGAGGAAAAGCCAAATTCTTCTCTTTGACCTAACGCTGAACAAGATAGTCCCCAGTTACCCCCATAATATTCCTCTCTTTGCTCTCTCCCCTGCAATCCTTCTGCTCCAGCCTCCTAAAACTCACCAGGTATGATCACCCCTCAGGGCCTTTGCACGGACTGTTCCCTTGGTATGAAACACTCTTTCCCTTGTTACCCACGTGGCCAACTCTTCCATCTCCTTCAAGTCTCTACTTAGAATGTCACTTTCTCAATGAGCCCTTCCCTATTTAGCTCTGCAGCCTGCCCTTCCCCAGCACTCTGGATCCACTTTCCCTGCTCTACATTTTCTTTCCTACAGCCCATACAATCTTCTAACATACCACATACTTTTTAAATTTACTATGTTTATTTTCTGCTATGCCTTGCTAGAATGTCAGCTGTACGAGGGAAGGGATCATTCTCTGTTTTATTCACTGCTGTATCCCCAGCACCTAAAGACAGTGTCTGGCACATATTAGATGCTCAATAAATATTTACTGAAGGAATGAATGAGTTTAATTAAAAAAAAATAATTTGGAGGGCAAAAACTAAAACAAAAATAAATTTAAAAAAGAAAAATACATAAAGAAAGAGATCTTCACAACCTGGATTTGAACAGCAGGCGGTCCATGTATGATTCTTATAAACTCCAGGTGAAGCTAAATACATTAAAAACTAAAACACAAGGTGATTTCTGAGAAGCACCTTGAAGGAAGTTATGGAAGATCAGAGAAAGGCCAAGAAGTTTGAACAAGGAAAGAAAGTAGGTCATGGAGAGTTTTCCTGAGAAAGTGATCCTCAGAGAACTGGTATGGGTTGCTAGGAAGGAATAAAGGTGGGGTAGAAGAGGAAAGGGGATTCCTGGTGTGTATGTGTGGTGGGTACTGCATGAGAAATGTAAAGAGGTGGAACCACCTGTTGCACATGAATGAATGGCAGTGAGTCTTGGTGCCAAGGGCTCCCCATGGTGGGCACTGGAGAGAAGGGGGAATGTCCCTGAGGTCAGACTACAGGGGGCCTTGAATGCTACACCTGGAAGCTGGCTTCTCTGGAGAACAGCAAGGAGCCAGGAGCTGGCGAATTTTCAAGATGGGATAATAGAATCGGACTTGTACTCTAGGAGATGGTGGTGCGGACAGGTTGGACCCAACCTGGAGGCTACTGCACCAGGAGTCCTGGCACGACCTTGCCCAGTTTGAGGGGTGTGCAGAGGGGTCAGGTACCTGCCACTCCGGAAAAGAAAGGTCATGACCAACGCGTGAGGGGCCCGGATTTTGGCTCCATAGCTGTAGAAACAAAAGAAAATGGTTATTAAGGCTCCATCACACCACTGTTTCTTTCTGAGCTCTCTCCTTGACTCCCTGTGCCCCCTCCTCCCCCTCCCTAATCTTAATATCATTTTGGGAGGGAAACTAACGCTGGCTTTCGAGTTAGATCTGGGTTCCAAGTGGGTCACACAAAGTAAACAGTATCTGGTACCAAAGCCTTGCCCTGTTTTGCTCTATGCTGCTGCTGCTGCTGCTGCTTCTGCTAAGTCGCTTCAGTCGAATCCGACTCTATGTGACCCCATAGATGGCAGCCCACCAGGCTCCCCCATCCCTGGGATTCTCCAGGCAAGAACACTGGAGTGGGTTGCCATTTCCTTCTCCAATGCATGAAAGTGAAAAGTGAAAGTGAACTCGCCCAGTCATGTCCAACTCTCAGCGACCCCATGGACTGCAGCCCACCAGGCTCCTCCATCCATAGGATTTTCCAGGCAAGAGCACTGGAGTGGGTGCCATTGTCTTCTCCGGTTTTGCTCTATAAACTTGGGTAAATCACTGAATGTCTCTGAGTCTCCCTTTTCCCTTCAGTGAAAGGTATTGCCTGTTTCAGAGTTGTTTCTGGCAGTTAAGGACCTAGCACAGGTAAAAGTTCCTTATTCAACCAGTACTAATGTCGCTACCTTTCTTTTTCTTCTTTATTGGACTTGCCCTCGCTCCACCAAGTTCTCCAGCTGTCTGGCCCTGACCTTTCCAGGCTACAAGGTCTAACAATCTCTGACAGTCTCCCTCAGACACTGGTCATGAGCCCTGTATTGTTGTCATATGAGTATCTGTGAGGCTTGTTTGTTTTTTTCCAAAATATTTATTTATGTATGTATTCATTTTGGCTGCACTGGGTTGGAGTTGCGGCATGTGGAGTCTAGTTCCCAGACCAGGGGTCAAACCCAGGCCGCCTGCATTGGGAGTATGCCGTCTCAGCCACTGGACTGCTAGGCAGGTCCTTGTGAGGCTTGTTTGAAGCAGCAAAAGACTGGGAACAAACCTGTGTCCATCCACAGGGGGCTACTAGGTAAACATACAATGGACCCATGGCAACCAGTGGGATACACTGGTTGCTGTACATGAAACAGCTGTCCATGAACCAGGCAACTCTAGATATGCTGTAGGCTTGGTTAGAGCAAGATGTGTAAACTTCTAAAAAGCTCTAACTTTTTATGCCTTTTGTGAATATGGTACCTAATTTTTAAAAAAATCAAATAAAAAGCGTGATGAACTGACAGCAGTGTTACTGTATGTGGTGGCCAGGCTGAATGGCTTATTCTCTCGCTGCCTAGCAGTGGGTAGGCAGGACCCTCATCTGGCCCCCAGCAAGCTCTCTGCCCCACCTCCTCCAAAGGCATGTCTTCTTACCCTGAATAAAGAGGCCGTTGGCCTCCTCCAGCTGGCCAAGGTGAACAAGACCCTGCCTTATACCTCAGACACAAATGGAACAATGCCCCCAACTGCCTCCATGTGCCTGGCCTCCTTCCCAAACTATTCAGACTCTGGTGGGAGCCAGTTACTGCCACTCACAAGAGCTCGCTGTGTCCTGAAACACGGAATGCTCTGGATTAAAAAGGACTGAAAGGACATGACAGGGATGTCCTCAGCAGTCCAGTGGTTAAGACTCTGTGCTTCCACTCCTGGAGGTGAGGGTTCAACCCCTGGTTGGAGAACTAAGATCACATGTGCCACGTGGTGTGGCAAAAACAAAACAAAACAAAATCATCATGACCAAGGAAACTTCAGAGTAGCTCTGAATACAGACCTTCAGTCCTCTTCCATATAAGAGAGAAATTAAATAAATAAAGGACCATGACAGATGCAGTATGATATCCTGGAAGATCGTTATTTAGACTATCTTGCTATAGAGGACATTTAGGGGACAACTGGGACAATCTGTTTATTGACTAGACAGCAGTCAACATTATAGGATTATGATTAATTTCTTTTTTAATTAAAAAAATTTTATACACCTACATTTTTGTTCTTTTTTTAAAAATTTTTTAAAATTTATTTTTGCCTGTGCTGGGTCTTTGTTGCCGCGTGGGCTTCTCATTGCAGTGGCTTCTCCTGTTGCAGAGCACGGGCTTTTGGGCATGTGGACTCAATAGTTGCATTTCCTGGCTCTAGAGCACAGGCTCAATGGTTTGGCTCACAGGCTTAGTTACTCCACAACATGTGGGATCTTCCCGGACCAGGAATCGAACCTGTGTCTGCTGCATTGGCAGATGGATGAGCTATGAATTTTCCTCTCTGAGCCACAGTCTTCTCATCCAGAAAATGGGTACAATGGCAATTCCTCCCTTATACACTTATTCATTCAGTTAATATTTAAGAGCCTACTATGTATCAGGTACTAGGAATATACTAAGGAACAAAACAGATAAAATTTTCTGTCCCCATGAAGCTCATTTTCTAGTGAGAGACAGAGTAGAAAAACGGGATGCTAAGTGAATACTTAAGTGTCAGGTGGTGATAAGGTCTATGCAGGAAAAGTCAGTAGGGAAGGAGGTTAAAGTTCAGAGATAGCCTCATTGAGGAGGTAACAATCGGAAGCCTGAGGAAGGTGAAGGAGTGAGCCAGGCAGACATTCATGCAACTACAACAATGATCACAGCAGCTAACAGTTATATACATATCAGGCGCTGTGCTGAGCATTTCACACATACTGACTCAATTCTCTCGACAGCATGATGAAAGTCAAAGTGTTTGTTGTTCAGTCTGCTCAATTCTGTGTCCCCATAGACTGTAGCCCTCCAGGCTCCTCTGTCCATGGTATTATCCAGGCAACAATGAAGTGGGTTGCCATTTCCTTCTCCAGGGGATATTCCCAACCCAGGGATCGCACCTGGGTCTCCTGCATTGCAGGCAGATTCTTTACCTTCTGAGCCATCAGGAAAGCCCTGAGAGGGTAACAAGCAGGAAGGCCAGGGGTCTCCAAACGGAGGAAACAGACTACAAGTGTCAGACTAAGCGGCAGGAGGAAACAAACAAGTGTTAGATTTTTTCCCCTTCTCTAAACAAATTTAAAAAGAGGTTTCTTTTAAAATTCTGAGTTGCCACCGACCACACCTGGTTCCACCATTGCTTAACTTTTCTCAAGCCTTGATCTAACCAATGTTTTTCTTATGGAAATGTTTGCCTTAAGCTATGTTAATGAACTATGTATTTACCCTAGACTCTTCCTTGGAGAAGGAAATGGCAACCCACTCCAGTGTTCTTGCCTGGGAAATCCCAGGGACAGAGGAGCCTGGCGGGCTGCCGTCTATGGGGTCACACAGCTGGACACGACTGAAGCGACTTAGCAGCAGCAGCAGCAGCAGCAGTTTCCTAGGTTCAGCAGCAGTCTTCCTAGGTTCTGAGTCTTAGATGGAACCGACTTGACAAATCAGTATGTTTTACTCATGCAAATGTTCTCATAAGCTATGTTAACGATACTGTATTTGCTTAGAAACCTGCCTTTCTTCAAGATCCACGTGAACCATTTTATGGCCCAGGACAACTCACCTTGTGCCAAAATGTATGTTGTGGGTGATGGGCCTGGTGCCAGTCTCTGAGTTTTGAGACATTTCTTTTCTCTAATTAGCAGAATGCTAGTAGCTACATAACATCCAACTAAAGACTAACAGAGGGGCACTCTTTCTGCTGATGTCTATGTCAGAAGCTTTCTCTAATTCTTTCACACTTTAATAAAACTTTATTACACAAAAGCTCTGATCACTTGAGTGATCAAGTCTTGTCACTGGCCCGGGATTGAATTCCTCTCCTTCGGAGGCCAAGAATCCTGGAGTCTTTCATGGCTCAGCAACAATATAAGTACTATTATCAACCCCATTTTATAAAAATTGAGGCTTAGAGAGCCTAAATGAGTTGCACAAGATCATATAGGTAAGGGGCACCACTACTCAAATTGAGGTGATCACATGCACACCACCGTCCCATGCAGCCACTAAATGCCAACTCCAAGAACATGCAGATTTTTGTTCCCTTTGTTCTTTGATGCTTCCCCAGTTCCTGGCACTGTAGGCTCTCAATAAATCATAGCGCTTATGCATAAAGTTTAAAAGAAACTGAGCTCCCGTCCTGGCGCTAGCCAGAGGAAATGACCTCCTCTTCTGCAGGTCAGATGGCCAAATTGTAATCAGTTTGCTTGGCAAATATTTGCAGCTTCAGTTACACTGGTCACGCCTTCCGCTTATCAAAAGAGGACTTAGCAGTAGAATCTTACAAAAGAATGAAAAGCAGGATGAAAAGTCCGGGGCAGCTTAATGCGAGGAGGATAGAGAGGCAGGGCCGCAGGCTTGCTAGAAGACAGAGTCCAGCTTCCCACTGTGCAGATGGAGCCACGGAAGTCAGATAGGCCCAAGGGCACACAGCAGCAGGAGGGGTAAAATTGGACCCAAATGAAGGGATACAGGGGCTGGCATGGGAAATAGTCAAGGCAATAAGGCCAGGCTGCAAAGCACTGAGTACCTAGAAACAGCGTAGTCAGAGCCCCGGCTCAGAAGGCGCACGGAACCCAAAATCCAGAGCCCACTGCACCGACAGTGGACACCAAGACCTACAGAGACACTAGAGCTGCTCAAGGGCGCACAAAGCAGCGGCGCCGGTCCCAGAACCCGCTTCTCCAACCCCACCAGACCGATCCTTCAGCCCCTGCCCAGCCCGATGACCCCACTCACACGGCCCCGTTCCGGAAGCCCTTCAGCATGGCCAGGGCTGCGTGGTAGCGGCGCTTGCGCAACAGTGAGTTGACCGCAAAGAGCAGAGTCCGCAGCTGCGGTGGGGCGGCCATAATGCAGGCGTCGCTGGGGGTGGTGAGCACGGAGCAGGACTCACGCCTTGACAGCCGGGGTTGCTATTGCACAACCCTCAGCAGGGCTAGAGGTGCCGGAAAGTGCCGGACAATGCAGTCGCGTCTTTGAGCCCATAGGATGTGTCTGCTGTCATTCATACGAAGAGGGCCGATCACAGAGCTCACTAAACTCACCAGGGGAATGGGACGCAAGCACTCTCTCGAAGAGCGGTCTGATTGGAAGAAAGGGAAAGCTCGTAGCCAATTACAATGGGCTCCGTCCAATTCGACCGCAAAAAGGTTAGAAACGTGTTCCTGGATCTGTCCAATCCGAAAGCAGTTTCGCTGGGACTTAGAAGAGGTGTGTCACCTGTGAGCTTGGAAGTTTTTTGAAAGAGGAGCCGCCCTCCGGAGAGTAGATCTTCTCTGACCGTAAATGACTTGGCACTTTTACCTTTTTGGTTTCCATATGTTCTTAAAAGCCAAACTTTTTCTCATGGTCCGCAGAAGACTGTTTGATCTGGCCCCTGTTTTCCTCTCTAATCTTACATCTCCACTCCCCCTTAGTTCCTCTCAGTCACTTCTCTTCAGCGAAACTAGCCTCCTTGCTGTTCCTTGAGCCTGACGCTCCTGCCTGAGTGCCTTTGCCTTTCTTTATCTCCCTGTTTCTTATGCATCGCCCCAAGTTCTTCCCATAGCTAACTCCTTCTCAAACTTCAGGCTTCAGCTCAAATGCCATCTCCTCAGAGAGGTCTTCCTAGATATCTCAGAACATTGAGGGGTGACATTTATGTATGATGTCACTGTGTGGAGATGTCATTGGATAGCGGGTACACACGGAGTGGTAGCTGTGACTTGCGAGGGTGTCCCCTGGTACATGGGCCATCTGGTATTTATCTGTGACATTATTGCCTAGGTCAGCGTCAGAGGATGATGTCAGAGGTCAGTGAGAAAGAACTATGCTGGCCCTATTTTACCATTGGGGTTTCTCCTGTGGCTCAGCAGTAAAAAGTCCCCCTGTAAAGGAAACACAGGTGATGCAGGTTCGATCAGGGAATGGCAACCCTCTCCAGTATTCTTGCTGGAAAAATCCCATGGACAGAGGAGCCTGGCAGGCTACAGTACATAGGGATGCAAAGAGTGAGACATGACTGAGCATGCATGCGTGCATATTTTATCACTATGACTGGGGGGAGGGGGGAATGGTGGGCTAATTTATTCAATTAATTTTCCCTCTGAAAATAGAAACATTGGATAAAATATAAAAAATATGCTCTGAGAAACACCGAAGCTTAAAAACCTGGGGGAACTCCTAGGCCAATTATTATGTGAAAGCTGGTAACCAGATATTTAACAGGAAGATTGGAATATTGGAGCACCAAAGCTATTATGACTTGAGGGTTTTTGCCAATGTTGAACCTGTGGATTTCAGTTCATTAGCCACATAGGGCAAGAGGGACAAAAATAAAAGTCCAGGGCCTATCCGAAGTGGGGAGCCTAACAGAAGGATCTCCTCATATTAGGCTTAAAGGTTTCACCCTTGTGTTTAATGTGATATGAACCTGCTGCACATCCTACACCACCAACCCGAAGGGAGTTAAGAAAAGGTTTCCTTGATGCTGAGCAGAACGGGCTTAATTTTTAGTATTAATTATTTTCATTTATCTTGGCTGTGCCAGGCTTACTTGCAACACACAGGATCGTCAGTCTTCATTGCAGCATGTGGAATCTTTTAGTTGTGACTTGCTGGATCTTTAGCAATTGCAGCATGCAAACTCTTAGTCGAGGCATGTGGGAACTAGTTCCCCAAAGACTGGGCCCCCTACAATAGGAGTGCAGAGTCTTAGCCACCAGACCGCCAGGGAAGTTCCTGAGCAGAACAGTTGAAGGAAAAGGAGCAGGGAATATTTTAAAAATCATTCTTTAGGGAGTTGAAAACATTGACGAGTACTTTTGTGTCCCAGGGAATAGAGTCTGGTAGCCCAAGAATTCTCAAGCCGTGAACTGGGAACCCAATTTGAAATGATAACTAGATTGCCCCTAATTATCACTGGAAGTGATTGGTAATGCCCCCAAACATTGGACGAAAGCAAATGGGAAGTCTTTCTGAAGAGGGCACATTTATCTTTGCCTTCAGGGAACCACTACAAATAATTTTTCAAGGTGACACCAGCACACAGTCAGAGATAACCAGGAACCCAAGACTTCATGAAGAAAAAACAAATACAACATATGGGAGGAATAGATCAACACAGACTTCAGGTATTATAATTCACAGACAGGTTTTAAAAACTTTTGCACACAAGATTTAAAGTTAGATAATAGCTACAGGAAGCATAAAATTAATTTTTAAAAAAACAGAAAATTTGGAAAGGAACCAAACAGGACTTCTATAAATATCACCTGCTACTCCCATGAAGAATCAGCCACTGATCTCTGACACATGGCCCAGCAACAGGAGATGATGTTTGGCTGGCTAACTATTTTGTCCAGCAAGTTCTTCGTGAGTGCTCTCTTTTGCTATGCCCTTTCTCACAGAGATTAGTAAATTTCTGCCATCAGGGAGCCTGGGGTAAAGAGTTGCCATATGAGGACACTTATTGCCTGGTGACAACTTTTTGGCATGTAACTCTGAGTTCCTCAGGGTTTGACCTATTTCTGCACCTTTGGCCTGTGAAATTGAACTTATTTATTTAATGAGCACATACACATTATTGCTGTATGTCATGAGTTGTTTCCTAAGGACTTTATTAACCAATTCTCATCTAATTATGGGAACTGAAACAGAGAAACAAAGTAACTTGCTTAAAATGATTTAGCTAATAAATTATTGGAATTCAGCCCCTTACTCCATTTTTTGATCTTACCTGCTCTATTAGTTTGCTAGGGCTTCCATAACAAAATACCATGAACTGGGTGACTTCAACAAGAGACATTTGTTTTATCACAAATTTGGAGGCTACAAGTCCAAGATCAAGGTGACTGTAGATTTCCTTTCTTTTGAGGCCTCTTTCCTTGACTGAGTTCAGCATGCCAGCAAATTTGGAAAATTCAGCAGTGGCCACAGGACTTGAAAAGGTCAGTTTTCATTCCAGTCCCAAAGAAAGGCAATGCCAAAGAATGTTCAAACTACTGCACAATTGCACTCATCTCACACGATAGCAAAGTAATGCTCAAAATTCTTGTTGAAGCCAGGCTTCAACAGTATGTGAACCATGCACTTCCAGATGTTCAAGCTGGATTTAGAAAAGGTAGAGGAACCAGAGATCAAATTGCTAACATCCATTGGATCATCAAAAAAGCAAGAGAATTCCAGAAAAACATCTACTTCTGCTTTATTGATTATGTCAAAGCCTTTAACTGTGTAGATCACAACAAATTGTGGAAAATTCTTCAAGAGATGGGAATACCAGACCACCTTACCTGTCTCTTGAGAAACCTGTATGCACGTCAAGAAGCAACAGTTAGAACCGGACATAGAACAACAGACTGATTCCAAATCAGCAAAGGAGTACATCACAGCTGCATATTGTCACCCTGCTTATTTAATGTCTATGCAGAGTATATCATGCAAAATGATGGGCTGGATGAAACACAAGCTGGAATCAAGATTGTCAGGAGAAATATCAATAACCTCAGAAATGCAGATGACACCATCCTTATGGAAGAAAGCGAAGAACTAAAGAGCCTCTTGATGAAAGTGAAAGAGGAAAGTGAAAAACCTGGGTTAAAATGCAACATTCAAAAAACTAAGATCATGGCATCCAGTCCCATCATTTCGTGGCAAATAGATGGGGAAACAATGGAAACAGTGAGAGACTTTATTTTTTGGACTCCAAAATCACTGCAGATGGTGACTGCAGCCATGAAATTAAAAGATACTTGCTCCTTGGAAGAAAAGCTATGACAACCTAGACAGCATATTAAAAAGCATAAACATTACATTGCCGACAAAGGTCCGTCTAGTCAAAGCTATGGTTTTTCCAGTAGTCACATATGGATGTGAGAGGTGGACTACAAAGAGAGCTGAGCACCAAAGAATTGATGCTTTTGAACTGTGGTGTTGGAGAAGACTCTTGAGAGTCCCTGGGACTTCAAGGAGATCAAACCAGTCAATCCTAAAGGAAATCAGTCCTGAATATTCATTGGAAGGATTGATGCTGAAGCTAAAACTCCAATACTTTGGCCATCTGATGTAAAGAACCAACTCGTTGGAAAAGACCCTAATGCTGGGAAAGATTGAAGGCAGGAGGAGAAGACAACGACAGAGGATGAGATGGTTGGATGACATCACCAACTTGATGGACATGAGTTTGAGCAAGCTTCAGGAGTTGGTGATGCACAGGCAAGCCTGGAGAGCTGCAGTCCATGGGGTTTCAGAGAGTCAGACTGAGCGACTGAACTGAACTGAACTGCTTGGCTTACAGATGGTTTGCCTTCTTACTGTTGTCACTTCTCAGTCTTTGTATGCCGAGACACATGAATCTCCTCTTCTTTTAAGGACATCAGTCATATTGGATTAGGGTTCACCTATATGACCTGTGCATGCTCAGTTGCTAAATCGTGTTCTCACTTAACCTTAATTACCTCTTCAAAGGCCCTGTATTCAAACGGATTTTGTAGTAGGGATTAAGATATCAACATTTGAATTGGGGTGGAGAAACACAGTTCATGCCATAAAACCACCATGCTTAGCTGCCTCTTACCTATACCAGAGAACCTAACATAATGTCAGTGTCAAGCTTTGCCTTGTGTGTCCTTAGTTTCTTCCCCTTATGTCTGCGAGTCTGGTTTAAGCTGCTCGTGATTTCTCCCCTCACTGTGAAAAAGTTATCTTTTCTGGAGCCGCTGGTACACTTAGTGTGGAAGGGAATACTGGACGTTTTCCAGACTTTTCTTCCTCCCTGCTTCGCTCCATCCCTGGAATAGCTATGTTACTTAGCTCAGGAGTCTCTGAACTGTGACTGGATTCAGTTCAGTGGTAACCTGCTGGCCCTAAG